TGTCCCAAAATCATTCATTGCGGAAATCATAGGTGTGTGCACTACGATCAATCCGAGCCCATCCTTCCCGAAACAATGATACCTGAAACCTTGGTTTAAAAATGCGCCGACTAGGCGCGCTTAAAGTGCTAGGCGCCAATGCGATCAGCATAAGCGCTTCAGACCTAGTAATGCGATGCGATTCCTTAAGGCGCTCGACTCGGACCGCTTTGAGCGCTTTTTTGTGACACGGTAAGCGGCGCTTAAGCGCGCCTTAATGAGTAACGGGCTTTTAATTAGATGGTGGGCCATTAGGTTTAAATAAATGAATAAAAAACTCTTGGAAACCAAAAGTCGCACATCGCACAACAAAAATTCAGAGGCGGCAACAAAAAAAAAATCTTCATCCATCTTTTCCAACCGTTTTCTCCAAGAATTCCAAATCTTCATCCATCTTCTTCAACGCAACTGTACTTCCAGACTTCCAGTGTTCCAGTCTTCCACTAAACATCAAGGTACTATACTTTCTGTCATTCTACTCTAGTTCTACTCTTATATCAACTCTTAACTTTTCATTATGCATTCATGAATCATGAATCATGATCACGTATGTAACAGAGTAACAGTAACTATATAGTATTATATATTATATAATATATTATTTACTGATGCAGAAAGTGTTATATACATCTCTTTTGATCTTTCTTTCTTCATAATATCATATATGATATATTATATATAATATATGTACTCTGTATTCCGTAACATTCTTTTTCCCCTGTAAATTTATTAATGATTATGATGTAATCTGTAAATGTATTAATGATGTAAATATGTAATCTGTATGACTGTATATGTGCTGTTAAATTGTTATTTGTTAAATAAAGTGTCAATTAAGTGTTTTAATTGTTATGAAATTATGTTGTGATCTGTGAATTTGTAATGTTGTTAAAGTGTTAACTGGTAAACTGTTAATGCAGTGTTACTTAACTTGTTAACTTTGGTTTTGTTACTATTTACAGAATGGTTTCGGATGACCCAGGTAGGAGATATGGTGTTCAAGATCCAAATAATAAAAACAATTTTACGTGCTCTTTTTGTGGACAAGTTACGAAAGGAGGAGTATACCGCCTCAAAATACACCTAATTGGTGGTCATAAAGACGCAAAGAAATGCCCAAATTGTCCGGAGCATGTTCGAGAAGAACTTAGGGCATACATGCAAAAGAAGGGTGAAATAAAGGCACAACAACATATGGAAGCAAATTTTCGGATGCAACAACAAGCTTATGGATATGAGGGCATTGAAAATGAGGAGGAAGATGTTATTGAAGTAGGCGGTAGTAGCAAGATGCCCCCTCCCAAAAAACCAAGAACAAAAGGCCAAATTGACATGTACTATACTCCTAACCCACAAGACGCGATGAAAGGTAAGAAGAAGGATGGGAAACAACAAACCATCAATGAAGTTTGTCGAAAGGACCTTAGAGATAAAGTTTGTCGTCACATTGGGAGATGGTTTTTCGATGCGGGCATTCCTTTCAATGCCGATACGTATGATAGCTTCAAAATTATGATTGAAGCTATTGGACAATTTGGTCCTGGGTTGAAACCGCTATCTATGTATGAGTTAAGAGTGCCTATACTGAATAACGAAGTAAAAGATGTTCAAAAACAGCTTTTGGAACATGAAGAAGAATGGGCTGAAAAAGGTTGTTCTATATTATCCGATGGATGACGCGATTCTGTAGTGCAAAAAGACATCATCAACTTCATGGTGAACTCCCCAAAGGGTTCGGTATTCAAGAGGTCACTTGATGTTTCCGATGTTTCAAAAGATGCAGATTTGTTGTTCCGTGTTCTTGATAAAATGGTGGAGGAAATTGGTGAAAAGAATGTGGTACAAGTGGTGACCGATAATGCCTCAGCTTATGTGAAGGCGGGTAAAATTTTTAACTTTCAAACTTAATCTCTTATCTTTTATGAATGCTAATATCTTGTCTAATTTCTTCTACTTTTTATGTGTGGACTTTGTAGGGAAGTTGTTGGAAGCTAAAAGACCAAATCTATATTGGACACCATGTGCCGCACATTGCCTAGATTTGATGTTGGAAGATATTGGCAAACAAGTTCCAAAGGTGAAAAGTGCATTAAAGAAGTCGATTTTAGCAATTGGGTATATATATAGCCATGTGCCTCTTGTGAACATGATGAGAAAGTTCACAAACCAAAGAAACTTACATAGGCCGGCTATCACAAGATTTGCAACATCTTTCATCACTCTTGCCCAAATCCACAAACAGAGAGCCAATTTGAGGAATATGGTGCTTTCTAAAGAGTGGGAAGCATCTAAGTGGTCTTCAGACGGGAGGGGGACAAAAGTAAAAACCTACTTTATGCAAGACATGTTTTGGAGAAATGTGCATTATGCTCTTAAGTTGACGGGTCCCCTAGTTACGGTTCTTAGGATTGTTGATGGAGAAAAATATCCGGCCATGGGCTTCATTTATGAGGCCATGGATAGGGCTAAGGAGGCCATTCGTGATAGCTTTTCGAGACCGGATGACTACAAGACAACTTTTGAAATTATAGATCGCAGGTGGGAATGTCAATTACATAGACCTTTGCATGCGGCGGGACACTTCTTGAACCCGGGAATCTTTTATAAAGATGTTAGTGGGATAGCTTGTGAAGAAGTGGAAAAAGGTTTGTATGATTGCATTATGAGGCTTGTTCCCGAGCAACAAGTTCAAGACAAGATTTCAGAAGAGTTGGACAAATATCGGAATGCACAAGGACTGTTTGGTAATCCTATGGCTGTTACACATAGGGAGACAAAATCACCAGGTAAATTCCAACTTATTTTTTTCTTCTAAATTCTAATTTATAATCTGACTATATGTTTTTTTTTTGTTTTTTATAGTTGATTGGTGGGGAGCATATGGATCTTCAACTCCTAATCTAAAAAAATTTGCTGTAAAGGTTCTTAGTCTCGCTTGTAGTGCTACAAGTTGTGAAAGAAATTGGAGTGTTTTTCAACATGTAAGTCTTTTCTTACTATTTTACAGAAAAACTGTTTTTTTTTTCAGAAAATCTGTTTTTTTTTTTTGCTGGAATTTGTTTATTATTGCTGAAAAATTTGTTTTTTTTATAGAAATTCTGCTTTGTGTTCTTACTTTCTTTGATTCTCTTACTTGCAACTTCATACAAAGAAACGAAATAGATTGGCACAATAGAGATTGAATGACATGGTGTTTGTCAAATTCAATCGGTCCTTGGAGCGACGGGCAAAAGACAAAGAGAACGATCACCTTATCCTACAAGAGATTGATTAAAGCAACGAGTGGTTGATGGGAAGAATGGAAGATGGGAGTGATGATGAGGCGGTATTTGTTGGTGAAGATTTAACTTGGAGAGATGTAGCTCATGCCTCCGGTGCTTATGAGCCTAGTTATCAAACTAGAGCATCAAGAGTACAAAATGATGGAACCGGAACATCGGGCGTTAATAAGGGAAAAACAACCGTTCAACCATCTCATAGACATTTGGTAGATGAAGATGT